TAGCAGTCATATTTAGGTTAATTCTTGTAAAACGATACAGTGTATGTGACATACAGGGTATAGGGTGTCCCCGATTATTTGCACCAAACTTTAAGAAAAAAAAAACGGAGAGCTCCGCGTTAGGGATACCGGTTGTATGTTCTTAGCAAACGTCATACAAAAGTGCACGAATTTTAGTGTGCTTTGTGATTGAATTAATTAGGACTAAATAGCCAACTTCCCAATTATTCGTATAAAGGTCGACGCGTAAACTGGAAAGTTGTAAAATCCATTGAGAAAATCCCGATTAATGTGTTTGCTGCATAATACGCTTTGAACGCTTTTTCTAGCAAAAGAAAAAAAAAAATCCGGAAATTATAAAAGCAAAACGTGACAACGCGCTTGCGCGTTGCACTTGAGGCGCTCTGAGACGTGCTCTGAAGGAACGAAGTTCACCTTATGACTGACGCGCTGTACGAGACAGGGCTTCGCGGAAGCGAGCGCTCGCGCCTATCTTCGGGGCCCACACCAACAGGAACCCATGTCTTGGACAGCACTCCAGGGAAAAGGTGGACTTCGTTCCTTTAGAAGACCTCTGAAAGCGCTGCAAGCGCGACAAGCGGCCCGTTGGCACTTCGTTTTTTGTTGTTGTTGTTGTTGTTGTTTTTGTTGTTTTTTTTTTATTTCACGGCCTTTCTTTTTTGGCTAAAAAAGAGAAGCGCGTAAAGCCATCATGCATCAACCACCTTAACTGGGTGTTCCTCGATGCTATCTACACACTTTCCAATTCCCTACTGGGTCCTAAAACAAATATTAGTCATAAATAATTAAATGACTAGGCGCACCAAAAAGAAAGGAATCACTGTACTTTTGTAAGATGCCTGTTAACATCATACAATTGGTTTCACTCCCGGAAAAAACTTTGTTTGTGTTTTTTTCTTTTCTTTTGTCTTTTTCATAATCTGGTACAAGTTTCCTGTGCCTATGTATAACTAACTAAGCCTTTAGCGACAGACTCAAAACGCTCAAGACGGTGCACCGAGTGACAGCTTCTTTGTGAAGCTTTAGAATTAAAGCATTGCTTTATTCTTACAAATGCGATCATTTCTAACGCGGCTGAAAAATCGAATGGAAACCTTCATTGCTACGTAAGTTTTATTTCAGCTATCTTTAGGTGTGTTTTTTTAATATGTATTACAGCGTTTTCTATAGAAAAGATAATAGAAAACATCGGTACACTGCTAGCAAAGATGTCAAATGCAGCTTGTATCTAATCATTTCAATATTTGATTGTCACCAACTAAAGATAACATATTTGCGAAGAAAAGATTCGTCTGGTCGCTATAAAGTGTTTTGTTTTCTCTGCGGGCAGTGTTTAATTTATTTGTTTGTTTGACGGGGCTGGACTGATAATTTCTAAGTTTTATCAAGCCATTACCCCTGAGCTCCGGAAAAATATACATCGGCCAAACCGACCGGTGTATAAATGACTGATCGCGTGAGTACGGTTTGCCACACCGGTCAATCTCAGGGAGCCAACTTAGTTTGCACTGTTGAACATGCAGCTCTCGGGCACAATTTTGGTACGAGGAGAGGGGGGTGGTTAAATGCGTGAGCAAATCTTCGGTTTATTTACACGAAAAAAGATATTGTCTTTGTGAGCATGTGTTGACGCGATTATGGTATGCTTGTTTCCCTCGTTGGACGTAGTTTCAATAGACGTTTAGTTACACCTCAGCACTCGTCTTGTCACTGCCCGCCTTTGTCCTTGTAAATCGGGCACTGAATTACCCCGATTTGTAAAAATAAAGAGCCACACAAGAGGTTGGCTAAAAGACATTAGCTACTGCCAGGGAAAGAAGGCCCTATAATCTGGTATACTTTCGCACCCGTGTATGCACTCTTTGTTTGTTGTTCACCAGTTGGAAGAACAACCTGAAAGCTGCTAAAACAAAGTAATTATTTGTTGTCGTACGCGCATTACGGTCTTACAGGTATTTGAGTAAGCAAATATACTTTAAAAAAAAACCTGATGTTCATGGGGCGCTTGAGCATGCCTTGTACTGTAGATTACGCCTACTTTAGTGGAGTGACAATTGTGCTTACTGAATCAATGATCATCCAAACATGATTGTAAACAAGCAATGAACATTACCACAACTTGCTGACCGTTGGCCGTAACGGTTAGGGCGTGGGCACCGCAGTTCTGGTAACCGAATTCCAACTTGAGCCGTCCTGATCTTGCCGTTCTAGACACCAACACTGGCGTCTTCCTGGAACAAGAAATTATAAGTATAATATTACATGAAACGCGGTATTTGACGACCGATCTTTTATCTTTTTTTAAGGCATTGAACAGTCGTTTCAGGAAGTGAAGAAGGAATATGGTTTATTAACTGATATCACGTGACCTCACGTCACGCGATATGGTTACGTGACTTTACGCCACGGTCACAAGTAGTGGTGCCACATGACGTCAATTGGTGTGTATGTGCACTGATTCAATATTCCCGATAGATCTAGCAAAAAAATGAAAGCCGTTTACAACTCCATGTAATGCCGAATAAGAGTACAGCTCCTGAGGAGGAGGAGGGAAGGGCACTGTGGGGGGGGGGGGGGGGGTCACGTGACCATGGGGTGTCACGTGACCTGGGGGTCACGTGACGATGCCCATGCCGATGACGTCATCAGGGACGTAACTGATGACGTCATCAGTGATGGCGATGACGATGCGGATGCCGGTGACGTCATCAGTGACGTCACTGATGACGTCATCAGTGATGACGATGACGATTCCCATGCCGGTGACGTCATCTGTGACGTCACTGATGACGTCATCAGTGATGATGACGATGACGATGCGGATGCCGGTGACGTCATCAGTGACGTCACGATTGACGTCATCAGTGGCGATTACATCAACGGGGGTCACGTGACCTCGGGAGGGGGGTCACGTGACCCGGGTAACCATCGTGACGGTAACCCTAGTAACCCTTGTGAAAGTAACTCTCGTGACACTCGTGAGGGTAACGCCTGTCACCCTCGTGAGGGTAACTCTCATAACCCTCGTGAGGGTAACTCTCATAACCCTCGTGACCTTCGTGAGGGTAACCCTCGTGACCCTAACCCTTTTGAGGGTAACTAACCTACTAACCCTCGTAACACTCGTGAGGGTTACGAGGGTTAGTAACCTTTGTAGCCCTCGTGATCCTCGTGAGGGTAACCCTCGTGAGAGTAACCCTCGTTACCCTCAAGAGGGTTACGAGGGTTAAGCGCGAAACACATGTACGACGAAACCGTCCGATCCGACGTGCGGACTGCCGGAATGACCTTGGGGGGAGAGGGTTTTCGTAGCATCGGAGAGCGTTGAAAACCCTCGCCTCCGACCGTCGTATTGCGCGGTCGGACGTCGGATCGGACGGTTTCGTCGTACATGTGTTTCGCGCTTTAGTCGCGGTTACGCCGACGGCGACGGCGACTGCGATGCCGCTCAAGCCGGAAACGGGCGCCTAAGAGCTGCGCTCTAAAAAGAAAGCGTTTTCCGGGTATTCAATTACGTTTCCGGGTATACAATTACAAATTACTTGAATTCGTGCATAATTAGGCACTTGTACAGTTGTGCCATTAATTAAGAGGAGGAACGCATGATTAGAGGCAATAATTTCAAGAAGTAGAAAGTTAAAAAAAAAAAACATTTTATGCTTTAAAAAATGTTTGGTCATTTTATCATTTGCTGTTAACGACGCCCGATTAAGATAATATAATTTGTTTGCCACCCACGAATCCGTATAAATCAATCATCCTTTTCAGAAGCGTCCGTTAAGGCAGAATTGTTCGCACCCGCTTTTCCTAAACGGAATGCGTTCGATTCATTGCATGTGCACTCATTCAACACTTTTGTACCTTCCGTCTGCAAATTTCGCGCTTTATTTGATTTAGCCCCAATTCGTAATTAAGATAACTGCAACTTTTACGCGTGAAGCATAATTTCTTGTGGTTCGAAGAATCTATCTCCTAGTCAAAAGCACTAATACAGCCCATATTGCGTACTCGCTAGCACAAGCTCGGTTAAAACTGTTTCGGGCGGGTATGTTTTCGCTTCCAAACACTGCACCGCAACACGCTTTTCCGCACTTTGTTCGCAGCCTTGAGAAACTAGAGGCCGTTTCCGTCATCAAGAGCCCTTTGCGTAGTCACAAGGCACGCAAATCACTCGAAACAAAGGCGCCGAAAAGGTGTAGCTATGAATGTGAATGTCTAGAGCACCTTCCACTCCCTTAAGTGTACAAATAATCTGCAGCGTGTACTCTCCCAGTCGCGTAGCACCTAACAATCTGAGGCTTCTAGGAGGTTTTTCTCCCGTGTACGCGTTCCGATTGGCGGCGCACTAAACATAATAATTTTAACGATAAAGACTGCGATTCTTAGGTGGGGTTCCAACAGAGTAGATCACGGTATTTGTGGTTACACAACGAGCGAAGAAAATATAAAAACAGACAATTGGTTTTCTTTTAGAATGACAACACAATCGAACAAAACAATTGCACCCAAACGTTATGATTATATATGATAAGATTGGAGTAACGACTAGGATTGCTGCGAAATAATAATTTTATTAAGGTTATTCCGATAACTTACCCTTCTTGGAGAAAGTAATAATTATGAAAGTTATTACGGCAGCGAAGTTAGTGTAAGCTAGTGTAAGTTCCTTCTTCTCTTAGTGGCATGTCCTGGATAAAAATGACTCATTTCGGGGATGTCTACTTTATAGGGCTAATAGACAATTTACTTTATACTTTCTAGTGACAATAGACCCCGATGAAGCGACATCGGTGGTCGCCATTTTTTGGGAGGGAAGTGAGCGATCGGATTGGATTTCTGGCCGAGCTCTCATGCAGCGCTCGTTCTCGTTCCGAGCTCAGTCAAGTTCACCCCGATCGCTGACAGACATGGCTAATTGGCGCTGCAGAAATGCTGCGCGTTTTACAAATAGGGTCTATTAATTAACTTACAGAGTATCTTCATTCGGGAATGACAATTTCTTTGAGATAAGGCACCAACCTGCGCGACGTGGCTGAGGTGAGCACAACTTGCACTTGCTCCGGCTCTACGCAGGTCGGGTGACCGGACGAGTCACGGAACTCTAGATGCGCCACCCCGACGGGGTTCTCCCGGCGCGCCATGCTGCCAGCTAACAAAAACAAAATGCAAGTACTACACAGTTATTTTGCCGTAACCTGTAACAAACCTTAAGGCAGAAAAAAACTGAAGCAACATAATGACCAGTAGGCTTTTTTTTATTTTTTTTTTGCCTCGCAACAAAGCGCGCAGCTATTATAAGCGCCAAAGTGCCTGGCTTTAGACTATCTGTGTGTTTTTTTTATGCTTTCATTGAACTGCACTGCGAAGGATTACCAAAAAACAGAGATGGCACTAAAAGATAACACGACTTTTGTTTTGTATGTCCCGACGTTTTTTTTTTTCTTCTTAGTCCCAGTGTCGATTATCGGTAGCGCAATATAGTTCAGTCGAAGCGATATAGAAAGGGTTGTTACGGGTGCTTCTACGCGTGTTGATGTTAATTAACCCAGTCGGCAAGGCAGTCTGCGATTGATACGATAACCCGAGAACTTGGGTAGCTTATATTTTCAGCCGAATATTTCAATCACAGTATCGCCAAACTGACAAAAGTAGGAATCTGCAAGCTTGCATCACTGATTTTGCCACATCATAACACCAAGTTGCTATATATAGAATACAGACTACTCCAAAGCAAGGCCTTGGAAACTACTCTACGCGCCATAAAACAATAACAAAAACAAATCTGCTTTCGTTAAAATATGCCAACTAAACCAAAGTCACGTACTGTTTCTTCCCCCAAACTGTTTCGCATATTGACATCGCTATCTCAACTTGTAAGTTTAATTTCACGTTAATCGACTTCTAACAGGAGCAGCGCGAGAACTAGAGGTTAGCACATACCGTTAAAGGAAAGTACCGCAGACGTCTTCGAAGGCCAGTTCTCGGAAGACACGGCACCGTAAATTCTGTACTGTCCCTTGGCGCTCTCACCATTCTTGCAGAACCTCAGCGTCCGCAGCGTTTTCGAGTTATCCTCGATTGTTCCCTCATCCGATACAATGGGCTCAGCGCCCTTATTGAGTACGCCGACGAGTGGAAGCACAACCTCCGGCATCTCCGGTCCGAAATGCAGAAGCGTCTTCCCGAAGTCGTGAATCTGCCTGGCCTTGACCAGCGCCGCGTCCAAGGAATCCTTGCGGGTGCGCAGAGTGTTCTCGTTCTCCCGCCTGAACTTCGCTATTTCCTCGAGCAGGTCCCGCCGCCGTGCCTCGAGCGCTTCGACGTACCCGTCGTAGAAGAGGTTCACCTCTCGAGTAATGCTGCTGACGTTCCTCTCCAGGGTCTGACTGTTCCGCAGCGTTCCGCTCGCCGAGGATTCCATGCGAGACATCTTCCACCGGAGCCTGGTCAGCAGGATGCTTGTCCTCTTCAGCTCTTCTTCCTTGGCGACATTGAAGTCGTTCTGAATGTGATCCTTGTGTTCGTACAAAATACACTGATCGCAGGCCGTCTTTTCGCACGTCTGACAGAACGTGTTCAGCACACACTTAGAATGAGTAGGGCAGTAGGTCTGCCGTGGAACCTCTGTGTCCTTGCCAACCGTAGGACCGCAGGAATCCTGAAGAGACATTAGGTTGTGGGAGTTTGTCTTCCGCTGTCTTCTGTGAGCCCTGGTGCAGAAGGAGCACAAAGAGAGCACGCAGATGATGCACCTGTTCACTGCACTGGTGGTTTTGGTGCACAGGTCGCAGAAGGAGCTCCGCTTGGAGCGGGATGCAGGTTGCCGCGACGCGCTTCCGTGGCGGCTGCCAAGTGGGCCGCCGGGGGTGCCGTCCAGAAAGCGGGTCAGGAGCGTGTTGGGCGGTAGCTGGATCGGGGGCCCGGTGAGCGCCGTCTGGGTTTTGCAAGCCGGACAGACGACAACCCGAGGGTCGACGCTTCTCGTGGCGAAATCGACCAGCTGGATTGCCGTGCGCGGCGGTGCGGCCGTCTCTTCTCCGCGGGCAAAGTCGCTCGAGGAAGAGTACCCCGAACTCGGGAAGGAGTGCCGGTCGCGAGTCGGCGATACGGAGGCTATTTTCCTCGAGGCGTGTTCGATGTCCGACACGCGCGAAGCGTCGGCGACTGCCAGGCGCTCGAAGCAGTGTCGGCACAGGGTATGCAGACAAGGCAAGATGCGAGGATCCTGGGGCCTCTGCTGGCAGGCGGCACATAGCAGGTCTAGCCGACTCGCAGTGCTGATGGAGTTAAACGAAAACCTGGGGCAAGAAAAAAAATTTGATTTCGCCTAGAAGACCTTATATTGATAGAACAAACTTTAAGGATGTAGGATACATTTTGAAAACCACACTGCAGGTTTATTGTGACGACACGCAACTATACTCTCGAACAAATTCGGAATGCAATGTGGTCAAAGCTAAGGGTACCAGTGCGCTCGCTTACTTTTAGTGCATGCAGAACCATGCGCCAGATCTAATTATATATAAATTTGCTTAGATATTTGTTCCAGATTAAAACCGCAAAACATAAAACCACTTTCAGTTAGTTCCACGGTCACTATCCTAAACTACCATCTGACTCGTGTACCATGCTAAGTAGGCTTCATTACTTTCGCGTCTAATCATTATTTCTACCACGTGCTGATGTCTGTTCATGTGTATGTTGTTTCTAAGTTGATATAGCTCCCAAACATTTTTTTTCAATCACCAACCCAAATCAAGGGACATGGAAGTCGCTACAGAAATATACAAGCGCACACTAAAAGCGCAAGGTCGTAATTTTTTCTGTGATTGATTGGACTAGCTGGTAATAACATGCACAGCTGGTAAAACATGCGCTGCCATTGGTATCAGTATTCATATTTTATTATTTTGTTAATTGTTTTCTGGGGAGATGGGGCACACGCGCCCTCTCTTTTTCCACGGGAATCTGATTCCCGATGTAGAAGGATTTCAAGCAGACTTTTTTTTTCTTTTATGATCAGAGTAAAGGACGCAAAATATGCTTTGCCAAAAACGCCAAGATTGTCCCCTAATTTATTTTTTTACCCTCAGCAAAAAGAAAAAGTCAAAACGCATATCAACATGGGGTTTGCGCCTTCCATAAGCCATCGCCACGGCCTACTATGAGTTTTTTGGGGTTTTTTTTGGCACGCTGTAGGATTTGAAATCAAGGAGCCAAAACTGTGTAGCTATAAATGTAAGTCAATGCAACGGCCTTTTATAGACTTATTTCTTAATATGTATTTGCCATTTTACAGGAGAGGGCCGCTCCCTGTCGGCACAAGATTGATATCCAGTTGAGATATGCTCACACCGGATGATATTTACCCTAGCGATTATAAGTATATAACTACAATATTTCCAAAGTCACGGGAGGGTAGTGGTTTAGAAAACAGGTACCGTACTCATTGTTGGCGGACAAGGACATGCCGGGCAAGCTCCGGAACCCTGCAGACGCCGTCGAGCTTCGGTGAAGGCAGAACAATCGAGTGCCCTTCGATGCCTCTGGTGGCAGGGCTGAGCAGCGCCGTTTCGGAGCACGAAAGTTGGGTGGACGTACACGGCTGAACCCATAAAACCGGGCGGCGGCTTGCGCCACCTAGGGCCGTTTCATAGCACCTCCGTTGACACCAGCGTCGGACGCATGACACCACGGTATGAAACAGAGCGAGCACACGGCTCCGTTGCGGTACGGACGGCGTGGAGTTCTATGTCGGGACACGATGCAACACACTGAGGAGAGCGCGATGTTACCGCTTGAGCCGCGGGGCCAGTGTTGGGCCACGCCGCTACGGTTCCCTCGCTGTCCCGGGGAGAGGGAGGGAATAGCTCGGGAAGCCGCCAACGGACGGCTAAAAGTAAACCCGGGGACACCGTCAAGAGAGAGAGAAAGGAAGAGAAGAAATAGAACAAGGTTAGCGAGGCACGCATAATGTTCGGTTGCCTACTGTTGGCATTTGGTTTGGGCTCTCGGGATTTTGAGGGCAGACGACAAACTTAGACGGTCGAGAATAAAATTGCAGATAAAAATAAAAATCCGATTGCGGTTCCTTTATTTGAGATTCCCAGTATTTATAACGGCCCCAAGAAGCGAAAGCGATGGCTGAAGCAATCCTATAGAACAGTTCGAGTACTAATCTCGTAAAGACCTTTCAGTGGCAGTTCAGTGAAAGGTACCGGAACGTTCGCCACCGATTAAGGGTCGGGCACCATGGGATGAACACCCGGCGAACTGGCGAACTTCATCCGGCGCCACGACCGTCGGAACATCCCCTCTTATAATGCCACGAGCAGCGAACCCCTGCGAAAATTGGCGCTCTTGAAAGAATGCGCCGCAAGACCGACAGAAGGGAGACAACACGAAGCGTTTCGTGTTGTCTCCCTTACTTTATCCCTGTCTTGCGGTGCCTTCTGTCAAAAGAAATCATGTACCAACTGACCCATCTGTCACCATTGATGAAAATCGTCGCTTTTCTGGAGCATATTTGTATTATGCAGTCACACTTAAAGCTATACAATGGTGTGAACACATTCTCGGAGACACCGTCGAGGGGACGAAGGAGGAGGGGAAGGTACGGACGAGTAGGAGGAAAGGGGGAGGAGGGGAAGAGAGGAGGAGAGGAGGGGAGGGAGAGGAGTAGGAGGATGAGGGGAATATCCTCCCCTTGGCACCCTCCCCTCCTCCTCCTCAAGAGCTGCGCTCGAATTTCGCGTTACAGGAGTTTGCAAACGTATTTTTATTTTAAAAGCGCAATAGATCCTTTGTGCTTGCTGTGCCAGTTTTCGTAGTTGTCTTGTAAAGCTAATATAAGTTACGAAAGACGTAACTTATATTACGTCTTTCGGTTAAAATCCAGAATGGGACAAAACTATCTTGCAATTGAAAAACCTTCCCCCTAAAAGTACCCAGAGTTCAGTTAAATGATAGAATTCTGCAAGCATACCGAGCCACTGGCTCAGCAACACTTCCTTTGATTTCCTCGCCCTCAAAACTCTGACTGAGTTTTTCAAAATCAACAAAATACACATCCAGTGCAACAATGATTTCAAGAATGTTAGGTTTTCTGTAGTTAAATATACGCAGACTTCCACTATCACAGACTTTTACACGCTCCAAATTCATTTCAGAAACGACATCATTGTGATCACTAATTCCAGGAAGTACAAATATAGACTTTAACAGATCTGGCTCAAACACAAATTCGCAAAATTTGCCACTATTGCAGTGTCCACGAGTTTTCCCAGCAAAAGACTTTTTGCCGGTGCCTTAAGACTAGGGAAATTAAAATCACCTTTTTATAACCAACCAGATCATCAGATTAAATTGTTTCAGTCATCACTGTGATCGCAGATAATACGTCAACCGAATTTGCTGGCGCCTGGTGAAAAGCATATATGCTGAAAAAGTTTTACCATTGCAATGTTTCAACTGGAACCATACAGCTTCGAGCGAGCCGTCATCAACTTCAATTTTATTCGAAGAAATGCACTTGCCTACGAGCTTGTGAAACTAGAAAAATCATCGATCTTGTTTTTGATTCGACGACAATTTATTACAAAAAAAAGAGACGGCGGGGTGCGAGGTAGGGCGTGGTAACTTGAACTGCGCTACCTGTTTGATATCTTCATCACAAATATACTTGACGTAACTTAGATAAAGAGCGTCATTCCTTGAGTTGACACACCTGCGACTGCTGGCGAAATCCCACACATGCCGCATTTTTCTGCGTATAACTCTAGAAATCCTTGGACGCACTGTTGCAAGGCATGTAGCTGGGCTAGTTGGTGGTACATACTGTTTGGTGGGAACAGCCAGTGCCTCCTGTATAAGTTACACTATACCTGTCAGTTTCTCTCCAAGACATGTCCGGGCCCGATGCTTCACCTCACAACACGCATGTTCAGCTAGGTAGCGCCGCCTGGCGGACGTTCGTTTTGTCTATTTTTCTAGCATGTTGTATTTACCTTAATATTGAAGATATATCATATTAATATATACTGTAAACGACGGAATTTTCGCGGGCTCAAATTTTCACTAATCGGGCCAAAGTTGAAAAATTAAAATTGTTCGGAGGGTCTAATTTTCGCGAATCCAGACTGACACCTAGAAAGATGGAAAGACAACCGGGCCGGAAGGGGGGGGGGGGGGGGGGGGGGGCTTCCGGCCCGGTTGTCTTTCCATCTTTCTAGGATAGGGGTTAAAAGCGCTAAAAACGACGGACGAGTAGCGCTTTTAACCCCTAAACATGTTCAACCAACTAGCCCAAATCCAAACCCTTCTGCATCTTTCTAGGATTCTGCGGCTTCAGTCAATCAGCGAAAATCTAGGAAAGGGAAGACGGCAGTAGGTTGTGTGACTAATGGTTCGGAAGTCACTGCCGTTACCCGCAGCTTCGAGACGCCGACAAAGGCTGGGTTAGTGTTCACATCGGTTTTCTTCGGTGTGAACCTTTCTCGAGTTCACTTTTCGAGGTCACACAGTCTGCATGAAAAGACAACCGCCAAGGGCAATGGGGTCAAACCAGTGTGTGTAAATAAGTTAAAGGTCCAAACTAACTGGGTCACACACCCTTAACCTTTCTTGGGTTCACTTTTCGAGGTCGCACACTCTGCATGGAAGGCCAGCGACAAAGGGCGATGGGGTCCAACGATTGTACATAAACCGACTCAAAGTAGGTTTAGGGACCAATCAAACTTGGCTGCGTACCATGGTCGTCGACGCCAGCACGCTCTGTGTCAGTGCAGTACGTTTTCTTGTGCCCGTCAATCTGCTGTCCCGCGAGGTCCTTACTACGTTACTTCAAGCCAGTGGTCGAGAATGCAGAAGATCATCATATGCCGAGACTGCCTGACCCACAGGTATGCAAGACCACACGTGATAAGCGTTCTTTTACGTCGGCCAATCAAAGTGTTATTGTCATTTCTACCGCCGTGGACTCCCGAAAGCGGAAACGAGGGCCCTACTCTGCTTACAATGACGAACTTAGATGTAAGATTGGAAAATATGCTGCGGAAAATGGGACAATTGCTGCAGTGAGGAAGTTTTCCGATGGAAGAGAAAAGCTTCTCAACGAGAGCACCGTCAGGGGGATGAAGACCTCCTATATCCAAGCCTGCAAGTCCTGTCATTCCAAAAAGCTGGCTACTTTGCCTGGTAAACTTCAAGGTGTCAAGCCTGTGCTTGGAAACTTGGATGATGACGTACGGGCGTACATTGTGGAGCTCAGAGAAGGGGGCGGGGTTGTAAACTCCAGGATTTGCATCGCTGCTGCACTGGGCATTGTGCGGGCGACCAAGCCCACACTCTTGCCAGTGTTTGGTGGAACTCTCGTTGT